CCGCGCGCCCGTGGACGGACGCGCGTGGAGAAAGATCATAAATCGGCGACGGCGAAATTCGCGACTTATTCGCAAGTCTCACGAGAGTCTTAGGTGCGTAGAGATACCGATCTATTTCGTATCTACGTATCGCGTATCGATGTCTAATCGAATCGCGTGGATCTCGTAAAGAGAGAGACTCGAGAGACTACTATCTTCCAAATTTAGGCGCTCTCACACGTCGAGAAAAGCCGCACGTTTTACAGTCCTGGTGCTCCGTCCGCGCGCAAATGCATGTCTCTTTCAGAAAAGCTACGCCTCCGGAGGACGGGATCTCTCTTTCTTCTGCGCGTATCAGCGATGACGACGCGCAAATCCACTCCGCTCCCGGTTTGCGAGAGGTTCGCGCGATGCCGATTCCGAGGACGCGCGTGCTGCACCGCGCGCGAGTTTAGTTGCGACTGTTAAGAGTCGGGTCGAGTACAGTCGACTTGAGTTCGGTCGAGTCGGAGTGCGGTGCGGTGCGGTGTGGTGCGGTGCGGTGCGGTGCAGTGCGGTGCGGTGCGGTGCGGTGCGGTGCGGTGCGGAGCAATGCGGTGCGGTGCGGTGCGGGTGCGGTGCGGTGTGGTGTGGTACGGCGCAATGTGAACGAAGTGAGAAGAGAAGGGAAAGAGAGAGAGAGAGGAAGGGGGAGAGAAAGAGACAGAGAAGAGGAGGAGAGCGGAAGAGAGGGAGACAAAGTTTCTAACGTCGCTCTGTGCGCCTCTATTTTCAGAGCAAATCAAATTATCGGGGAACCGTAACCAAAATCAAGACGGGGGCGAGAGAGACGATTCCTCTCCGAACTTATCTCAGGGAAATACGAAACGCATCGCCGTATGTATAACATGACACGAATGACGAATGAAAATTATACGCGCGATACTCGGCTACACGCGCAAGTGAAGTCGTCTCCTCCCCTTCCCGCCCGTCCTGTACCCGTGATAGGAAAAAGTTTTGTCGATCGCGAGTCAAGCCCAAAGAGATAAATACCCCCTTTTATCTCGCTTCATTATACATAATACGCTTGCATCGTCACATTCGTGCGATAACTATATGCGCGTGTACGAATGCGTGTACCCGTGCACGCGTCACCAGACGGAAGGAGAGGGAAGAACGCAGAAAGCAAAAGAAAGAGAGGAGAAATGAGGGAGTAGAGGAGTTTAAAAAGAAGCGTACGGCCAGACCTTGTCACCAGACCGAATAGTCATTCTGCTCGCCCGCGCTCTATCACAAAGCTGGACAGACTTACATACATACGGACAGATTTATTTGAGATATCGGTAAACGTCGTCGAATAATGTGTTCCACGCGATTACCTTCCATTTTTATCTTTTTATAGAACTCCCGGTCGGCGGATCGCGACGTCAGGAGTCGAAAAAATCGTTCCGCTTTTTTCCCCCGCATTCGACGTCGGAACAAATTAGTTTTCTCTCTATGACACTGCCGAACGGTCAAGAGGCTTAAAATTTGTAAATTGCTCAAGCTAGCGAAAAAAAAACAGATAATATGCGCCACCGTCGTGCGAAAATGGAACAAAATGAAAAGAGAGATTACACACACACACACACACACACACACACACACACACACACACACACACACACACACACACACACACACACACACACACACACACACACACACTTCTCTTTCTTAAAGCAACTCTCTATGGTATAATCCAAGTTAAATTTCAGGATAGAATTCCATTTTAATTCTGCACGCCACACACGTATTTTGATATATGCACGTATTTTAATATACATTTTTTTTTTTTTTTTATATAGGCGTGAATACCGGCTCGTCGAATATCCTTTTGTGTACGGTAGCATAGAAATGAAATTCCGCCTTGGATTTCGGCGCGATTTCAGTGGCTTTTGATACGAGGAGAGAAAGAGAATTCTCAAAGAGAGTAGACGCTTTCGATTTCCCACGCGCGCGTATTGCGCGATTTCCATGCGCCTATTCCTCGTACATTTCCACTAGTCACACTCGTTTTTTTTTGTTTTTCTCCTAACATTACGGTGCATGGAATGAAAAAAAAAAAAATACGTAATACTGACGCGCGTAATATGGAAGCGATAAACACGTGAGCGCACCGCGTGTATTGTGCGCCGCGCCGTATCGACGCACGCACGTACACGCCGAGGCGTCTCCGTCGGATTATGCAACTGATGAGGTAGCGTTCGTGGTATCGCCACGGTATATCGAGATAACAGCCTAGAGTTCGTAGCGTCAGCGTTAAACACGGCGACGAAACCACGAGAATCTTTTCTTCCTTCTCCTTTTCCTCTCTCTTCTCGCGCGCGCGCGCGCGCGTGCGCGCCAAGCCGCCCTTTCTCGCACGTCAGAAGCGAAAAATCAGAACGAGACGAATTTCCTCTTTTCCTTTTTCCTCTTCTTTCGAACGTTCGGAATAGATCGCGTGCCGTCACCTCGACGTAGATTTTACAAAGTGCGCGCCGGGGATACCTCCCGGGTTCCCGCGAATTAATGGATAGTTGTAGATCTTGATCAACTTGAGCAACCGCGCGTCTGCTGGAAAATTACAGCGCGCGTAGGTTGAATTATACGTTCATTTATTAATGAAGCGCCACTGAAAAGAGCGAGAGGGATTATTACCGCTCAATGCCTATCGAGTGCGGTAACACGCGGAGGATTTACTTCAATGTACAACGTGGCAGAAGGATTTACATGCTTCTTGTTTTTTCTTTCTTTCTTTTTTTTTTTTTTCACATTGCAGCTCCAGCGTGCGATTGCGATTAGCTATAAGCGGTTTTAACGCGAGGCCAACTCGCGGAGCGGCAACGTTTTAACCGATCATCTTTTTCGGATCGATCCAACCCGTTTCTTCGCGCCTCGTTGTTGTAACGGAATTGCCACGGCAGTCGGCTGCGCAGCTCACGAAACGGACGGATTTCTCTTCGCGGACGATACGTTTTGCGATGTTTACCTCGCGAGAGCAACAGTCGCTCACGCAACTCTGTAATCGCTCACTCGGGAAATTTCCTTCATATCCGTGATATAAATGAATTATAAATGCAACTATTCTATTTTTTTCTACTTAAGTCTCGGAATGTATTTCTGACCACTCCGACAACTGATCGCGTGAAAATTGCAATTCTAATTAGGATAATGAGATGTTATTTTATTCTTAGCGACTTAATCGCGAGTCGTCAAAGAAAATCTTAGATGTATCGCGAACGTGAGACGGAAAAAAAAACAAAAACAAAAAAAAACACCTGGCATTCATAAGATCCCGTTACCCTAATATAATTAAAATTCTGCTCAGGTTCTAATCGGTTCTTCTTCCGCCATTCGTCTATATATTTTTTTTCTTTATTCATCACAAATCACTCATTGAAACGCGTTCTCCTAAACGAAAAGAGGGTTTCTTCTACATCGATACGTAATTCGGAAATAAGGTGTGCAGGATCGATGACATATCGTAGACGCCATCGTCACCTTGACCGATCTAGACGCCACGCGTTTGTCGCAATATCGACGCCGTGATGCTCTCCTCGGCATTGACACGCCCGTCAATTCCAATGACAATGACAATGAGGCCTGCCCGCGCCCATCGTGGCCGGGCTCTGTGATCTCCCCTAAGCGATTCCTCCGTCTACCATTTTCAGCCGAAGACGCGAGACTTCTCGGCCGAGAACTCGTACGTTCGCGAGAGCGGAAGACCGTAACCTTCGTAAATTAGCCGCATCCTAATTGATGTATCCGTTCGAGTACTTTCCGCTCCGCGCGCTGAAACGCGTTACCAGCTAAACAGCGAGAATAATCGTAGGACGGGCCTGGTTACCCGCTCGAGGTCAGCACTTAGTCAAAAGTGGAATGAAACGCGGATAAAATTAATGTAAAATTGAGACAATTAAAATGCAGTAATTACGGAGTAATATATTCCGGTGCACGAAGGAATCTCAGCGTGTTTAGAATGAACAAATATAATTTGAATTCGACGATTTAGTTTCTTCATTTGTCAACAACAAGCATTTGATGCGATTATTTTCAATTGTCGTCTTTTGTTTTTATCATCTATTAGCATCTGAAGCTTGTTTTATAATCTTGGCACGTGACACGTACCATGTCTCGTGCTGTATATGATTTAAAACGATTATTCGCGACTGTTGAGTTTTAAGTCTTTAGATATATTCATTTCCTATCAAAGATCAATCTATTTATAAAGTAATTTAAAGTCGTTATACAAAAAATTTTTGATCAAACGCCACAAGTCTCAAACAGGTAATAAAAACAAAGGAGAGACGATATAATTTTGAAAAAAAATTTTTGAAAAATAATTGCATTGAACGTTTACTATTGTTAAAATAAAGCGCTAAAATTGAATTAAGTTATAGTCATTTATTCTAAATATAGTGAATTTCTTTGTGTAGCAGAATATATCCGTCATCCTATAGGCAAACACGATTTTTTTTAGAAGCGTAAACAGAACGCGAAATCTGTTTATCGGAGAGAAGGAAAGGGAGAAAGAGGATTAGGCGTGCCGGGTCAATGAGCCTGGGTCAAACGAGCATGCTAGTATCGAATTAGTCCGTCGCACTGAAATTGACCTCCAGGTTAATTCCATAATCCACGCTCGTATGCTCGATCTACTGCTGTTCTGTTCTGAGAATATAAAGATCGTACAGTGAGAGAAGGAAGATACATCCGCGGCACGTTAATTCACTTTCAACAAGAATGGATCAGTTTATGACAATAAACGACGCGGACTGGAAGAAGCGTTCCAAAAGCGGCATTCATGTCTCGCGACTCGTAAATCTATTCCGCGTGGAAGGTGAATTGTGTAACGCGCAAAAGGAAACAGCTTATCGGAGAACCAATCGAAATTCCAATCCGCTTTTATCTCCCGTTGTGTGTCGCGCCCCATTCCTCCCCCCCCCCCTCCCGTCCCCGGAGGGGGTCAACATTGGTCGAAAATCGCCCGGAGCAAGTGTCAAACGGATGAGAGGACTTACCCGGCTTCCTGCGGGAGCTCCAAAGCACGGGAGGATGCGCGGATGCGGCGACGGCAGCGGGGTTACCGCCGGAGGCAGCCAGCTTGACTGCGTTCCGCGAACCTGCAAACCAATCGACAAACTGTTCAGGCCGAGAGCTTTGTGTTTTCAGTCTTCTTCTTCTTCTTCTTCTTTTTTTTATTTTTATTTTTTTTCCCCCTCTTTCTCGCGCCGCTCGCACGTGAGAGTCACGCTTTTGAAACGCGACGACAGGCGGCGAAAACAAACGGACGGAAGTGACAACGCGTTGCATCGCTCATTTGCGTCGGTCATCAGATGTGACGTGCGGACGCGTCGGTCGATGGTATTGTTTTTTTTCCCGCAGTTGTGCGGTCTCGCAATTAATCAAGAATTAAGAACGTCCACGAGTGGACGGGGAGGAGGCGGAAAGATCCTATCCTCCTATAACGCAATATCTCGAGAACGTGGATTCGACAAGCGGTGCTAGAATCACAAGAACGGGAACATCGCTGTCTCTCGAAAAGGCGGGGGCGAGGGGGAGGAGAGGGGGGAGGGGAAGGGGGGGAAAACCATTATCGATGGTTCATTAAAGCGAGTACAACGCGAGGCAATACGACGCCCGGTATTCGGTTTCGCTGTCGCGCGAATGATAAAGCGACGCGGCCGTCCGCGCGGCGACATTGAATCGCAGGTGTCGCGCGCGCGAGCGCGCGTTGTTCGTTTGACAAATTGATAATTGTTACCGGCGCTGCGCGTCACAAGTTCGCGATCCAATTGAGCCTCTCAATGACAAAAACAAAAAAAAAGAAAGAAAAAAAGAAAGAAAAAAGAAAGAAAAAAAAGAAAGAAGAGAAGAGAAGGTAGAAATTTATTCGGATCTCGCAACCAGTTACGCTATTCAGGACACCACCGAGTAAACTAATGAGCAACGCGAGCCGGAAGAAGAAATAACGAGGAGAGAAGGCAGCAACGCAGCTCGCGTCGTTCACAGTCGTTGCCGGGGATCGTTTTACACGGCCGCCTTTGCGAGGCGAGACGCGAGATCCGTCCATCCGTCCGTCCGTCCGTCCGTCGGCACTCACAAAATCCGTCCGGCTGCTCGTCGATCTCGGGACTGGACGAGGTAGCGCAGCTGCAGGTGCACGAGCAGAACAGCCTCCTGCCGCCGTCGCGATTAGCCAGGTAACAACGCTGTCGTCCACCGATGGCCATGGCGAACGGAACGGCGGAACGCGCGGCGGAGAAGTGACTCTCGCGGATCCGCTCGCCGAATCCACCGAGGAGAATCGAAGGAGATCGGCCTCTCCCCGCGGGTCCCCGGGCGAATTAACCTTGGATGGCCTCGACGGTAAGGACACGCGTGAAGAGAACGACATGCGTGCTTTAACGCGATTCCTCGTGCACACGATTCCACTCGTATCCCTTTCCGTATCTCACGGTCGATGCCGGCCGGCCTCCGTCCGTCCGTTTACGACGACGTTTCGACGATCGTTAGCTAATGCGATCGCCAACCGATACGTGCATTATAAACTTACGATCCGCGCCACCGATCTATACTCATCGGCCTAATGGCCGCGCCGCGCCGCCCCGCCCTCGCTCGTACGGGAGGACGCTATTTTTGGTGTCACTTCGGGACGACGGCTAATCGCCGATTACGCGAAAGGACGATAAAGCGATTGTATCTAATATAAAACGCCCTTGGATCGTCACGTACATAATATCCACATACTCGTTTCGCTTAACATAATGACGCATTTTTTTCCGCTACAACGGTATTGCGGAACTCTCATTATCAGTTCCTCGACAAATTTCCGATGAGTATCTCTCGTCACTCGCGTCCGCTCGTGCTCGTTGCCGTCGTTGATGAATTGCGAGAAACAGACGCAAAGGGAGAAGAGGACGAGGGGGAGGGGGGGGGGACTAGAAGCGAGCGAACGTACACTCGCGGTTTCTCGCGTTCGCGGCGTAGTCGCGCGATCTCCCGCGCGTCTTGGTCGCGTCTTGGTGCGCGTCTTTATGAAGTGTATGCACGCGAGAATCCGATCGACATGCACGCGAGATCCATAAACATTAATCCAATCGCACGTACGGCATTTTAATGATACGATATGGCAGTACGTGCGCATCCGGTCCCGAATGGGTCCTGCACACTTTATTAAAAGCTCCACGTTATCTTATATCCTCGCGAAACTTGGCCGGGTCCAGATGTCTCATTATTTCCGAGGCGTTATTTCTCGTAAAAGAAAAAAAAAAAGAGAAGAATATAAATAATCACCTCGGGAAACTCGCGCAACATTGTGCATCCATCAGTTAAAGCCTGGCGTTTATCGGTCGGAACTCCAGAATGAAGCGGTCGTCATTACTGCGTTTCCCTTTCGTAATGAACAGCCCTTATCTTTCCTTCTCCCCGTTTCCCCGGTTTTCACGATCTTTCCGAATGTTCTGCGACGACGACGACGACGACGACGACGACGACGACGACGGATTCGGAAGGACGTAGGCTCGGCATCGGTCAGCGCGGCATATTTACGTAACCATATCGATCGTTCCCTTAGCAAATATAGGCGCCCACGCGTCGCAAACGACGCAAAGTAGACGTCACGAGAAATATGCACACGGTAGTTGCAAAATATCGCGCGCGCGCACGACAGGGTCGTTGGCTTATTGACACATAAAAAGTAATTAGCGATTGGCAGGTGACGTCGGAGATAAGATATATATCCCTCGAGGATCGCGTCGCGACGTATGCAGGTGGAAGGTAGATTCGCCCGTTGCATAGAACAATGTAGCGAGCGAGCGAGCGCGCGCGCGCGCGCGCACGGGGCTGGCCGTTTACGTAACCACAAGTCACCGCCGATCCTTCCTTTTTTTATTGTCCGTTGCAGATAAACATATTTGTTCGCGCTTCTGACGTCGCAAATCAATCCGCAATTCCGAGAACGGTATCCCACGGCGCTCGATCGAGCCGTGCGTCAATTCGTAAGCCGAAAAGGAGAGCCCTCGACGCACGGAAAGGACTAATCTATCTCATACGTGATATTCTCACGGGGATCTTTTCTTTTCGGAGAAAGGTTTTATCTATTCTATTAATACACAAACAACAATTTTTTGCGTTAATGAATTGCCTTTTTAAATGTTTTACAACATTTTTCTCATGTCTCGGATACCATCAAAGCTGTAACTAACGGAAATTCCAGAAATTATTTATTACATCAACGGATAGAAAATAATATTTTATGTGATAACAAAAAAATTTATTTACAGTCAAGAGTATTAAAGTTGTATTTTATAATGAATAATGAAAAAATAAGTAAAAAATTTCAGGGAGGAAGTTTGAACATCCAACTCTCTTCCTGAATATATTCATGAACATTCTTAATCTTGTATTGCAAATACCTTGAAATTCGAAATAAAGTTAATTTCTAAATAAAAATGACATTTCGAATTTCAGTAGAATGGGAATTTTATGCTGATAAAAGTATTTTTCGTGATATATTACTACGAACTACGTGTATGCATGACGTAATAATAAATATAGCGATTTGACTCAGGTATCATTTTTATGAATTCACGACACTTTTCTTTAAGAGATACAAAGCTTTTTCTCTCTATAATCTAAAATCTTGTGTAAAGCATTTTGTGTCGGCATTTGTTATATATTTATTATTTATAAAACAAAATATAATCGAAAGTAAACGCTACGCGTTCTGTTATAGACATTGTAATCTAATATATTTATACTGTATAATTTGTATCTCCTCCATAATAGAAAATTTCTCTAATTTCGAACATTTCCCTTCTTATTTTTATCCTTTGATATTTATATCCCTTGTAAAATCCTTATTTCAACGTGAACCTCCGATTTTTCACGATAGAAGGTCAAGAATGAAACAAAGGCTGCAATTCAGCAGAAAAAGTAGCTTTGCAACTGTTGTAAGATTTTTATGATTGATTCTTCTCCTAATTCCCCTTACTGAATCTAAATGTATAGATCAATATTAAAGAATCTTACAACGGCTGTTTTTTTTCTGCTGAATGCAACCAAGGATTCGCGCTATTCTTTGCCGAGCTAACATCATAATCGAACATAATTGAAACGAAGGAGCTTTAAGAGGATGTTCCAACTCGCCTTTGGGCAAAATTTGGATCGCAAAAGAAAGCGACACATATCCCGTATTCTCGGAGAATCGTTGAAGTCATTCTTCATGACGGATGGAATAAATTACGTATCGCTATGCGTAACCTCGGTCACGAGTCTTTTATCTTCGTCACAAAAAGCGGAAACGCAAACGTGAACGAATGCGCGATTAGAACTCGTCACGAACTCGTCTCGTGTACATTGTCGTTGGGTAAATAATCAAGCAGCCACGTAACGTCTAGCGCCTATCGTATCGTTTGTATTCCTGCCTGAACTTTCGTGCGACGTTGTACAGAAAAATTGTCATTTTTTTTAATGACATTTTTTTTTTTGGATACTTTAGAAGTTAGAATAATCTCTTCGTTTCTGATCTCGAATGAAAAAGATATTAAATTTTGTAAATCATAACTTTGACTTGACTTTAACTCTTTGTTTAAATTTCGGAGGTGGTTTGAACTTCTTCAACTCCTCTCTCTGGATACGCCCCATGGATGGATTGCAATTTATCTTGTAACCTCCCGTGTCACTTCTGGTGACCGCGAGAACTCCGTCATCGATAGTCGATTTCCTCCTTCGACCCTACACTCATTTGACGCGCCACCAAAACGTTAGCCACGATCCGCGAAAGTGTGCCATGGTCTCGAGGAAGGTTTGGAGAAGCCGTCGCCGCCGCCGTCGCCGCCGCCGCCGCGGTGGGTGTTTACCGAACGAGACGTGTTTGCTGCACGAGCGCACCGCTTTCTTTTTCACCGAGCGCCCGGCTTGCTATCCCGTATCGACTTTCCGTTAGCCAGTCGCGGCACGTATTCAGGCAGAAACGTATTAGAAACGGTGGCGAACCGCCGATCGAATCGCTCGACTTTCGCGCCGGTCGAAGGACCGCCAACGACGTCCCCTCGCGAGCCTCTTTTCAGTTTTCGCGCCCTCGCGCCTCTTCGCAGGGGCGAACGACGGCGAGCATCCCGAGGTCGCGAGATAAAGAGCGAGCGACGGCGAAATGATGCGCGTTTCCCGTCCAATACTCGCGCCGATAAGCGTTTATCGCGCTCGAATCGCGCGAGAGAGTCCTCGCTCGGCTCCAACTTTGCCCAATTAAAAACGCCACCGGGAGGGGAGTTCTGTTTTCTTCTATCTCTTTTTCTTTTTTTATTATTACGATTCCCGCTGCACCGCCCGCGGTGGTTTCTTTTCAATCTTCGTCTCACCTCCCTCTACCTTGCCCGAACGCGCACCTGTCCCATTTCGAGTGAGGAGAACACGATACAGCGCGGCGGGAGGGAAAAAGATGTAGACCCACGACGATTCGTGGATCTCTCGCACGAATGAGGCTCCCTACTTCCTTTCTACTTCTTTCGTATCGGTTCTCCGCTCGGGAATCAAAGCATCACACGATATTCTCGATTTCGTTTATCAATTCGCGGGATCGGAGAGGCGCGATTTGTTAGGCAGTTAAGTGGCCAACGCGTCTTCGGTTGGGCTCCTCGCCGCGCGCGACGAGCCCCGGGCAATGCGTGACACGGCAGCGAATCGAGGCCGTTTGCCGACAGGAAATAATCAGACGGATACACATGCAGCGTGCGTTACGCGTTGCGTGTAACCTTGCACTTGCAACAATATATTGCGCATGTTGCGCACACGCGTCGCGTCGCGTCGCGTCGCGGCGCGGCGCGGCGCGGCGCCTCGTTCCGTCATCTCGCGATACGAGCCGACACTCCGCCGAAGAACGGTGGTATCTACGATACTTTATCGCGAGCATATCTACGCCGCCAATATCGATACGCCACTGAATCAAAGCGCACTCGCTCGATGTTTCATCGAAAGGGGGGAAAAACACGAGAAAGAAAGCAAAAAACGAAATCAGATAGATAAAAGTGCCAATCACGTTGTCAGGCGCTCGAGGATTTATCGATCGTCCTATATATTTATCGACCACTTTATTAAGTCTCTTAGACTTTGTGCACTTCCTCATTTCGGTGATTATATCCCATATATCGCGTCGCATAATTACGTGGATACCGGGATCTCATCGGGGTTTCCTTTTTTCTCGGGGGTCACGTATGTCGGGGACGCTCGTATGTCCTTAACTAGGGTTGCCATCCGTCCTCTTTTCCCTGGACACTGTCCTCTTTTTTAGGGGGGTTTTTTGAAAGCGACCGGGGTTTCAAGAAATTTTTCTTCTAAATATTTTTGTTTTGATTCTCCTCTCGCATTATCAAATAGCACAGATAAAAGAGTTAAAATTTGTTAATTTTAATACTTAATAAAATACTTAAACTAAATCTATAATAAAACTTTTTTTATTTTAAATCAAAATAGTCTGTATTACTTAGTATCCAATTCAAATTTCTCTTTGTTCTGGATGCTGAACATTTAGAAATGAACAATTAGATGTGAAATAATGATTCATTTACTGTTCTAATAAATTTCATTAATTTAAGCGCACTTTTGTATACGTCCGAGGTTGTAACCGAAATGTCCGGGTTGGCTTGTAAATCTTAGTTTTGAAAATTTTAATATATAGGCAACCCTAGTCTTAACTGACAGACACACGAACAACGCATGTGAATTCGGTTTTACATACGAAAGGAGTCCCCCTTCCCGCTTCTCCTTCGTCGTATATTCACCTGCATCGCGATTTCGAGAGTCACGTATATTTCCAGGTGATTGACATATTTCGGATAAAGAAAATATTTTTAACTCGCCCCCTCAAGAGTCGCATTCCGCGACTGTTCCATGCCGGAGGGAAAGTAATGCCAGAGGTAAACGCGTCGCCGTTAAACCTCGACGACGGCAGCAAATCGAAATTGCCGCGCGAGCGCGTTTCTTTCGCGAATCTCCGGATTAATAAAATGCATTCGCGCACACGTACGATTCGAGATTTCGCAAAGTTTTCAATGACGCGGCATTGAAACTGTCAAGACGCACGCCTCGACTCCCCTTCTCCTTTTTGGCGAATTTCATTCAGCGCATAATCAAGATAAAATTACGTCGAGATACACTCGTGCAACCAATCATTCTCTCCTTTTTACTCTTCTCTCTCTCTCTCTCCTCCCCCCTCTTTCTCTCTCTCGCTCTCGCACATCTTGTCGCGTCGCGTATCGCAGTTATCAAAAGTAACTCGGGGTCCATAGGCGCCGGTCGCGGCGCGCAAACCGCGACGTGTCGAGTTGTACCTTACCTTTTGCGAGATGAAAACGACGGCGGTAGCGGAGGCCGAGGGTCGCACCTCGTCGTCGCGACTTCCGCGCGAGTCGAGATTCCAACGGGGATCTTTCCTCCTCTTCCTCCTCCTCCTCCTCGTCGTTCTTTGCTCCTCTCCTTCGTCCGTCGCCTCTCTCTCTTTGTGTCGCGCGTG